ACTACTTTGACTTAAACGCAAAGGGGATAGTGCAAAGGAATGCACACGCCTCGTAGGGGGGGGGGGGGGGGAGGCATCAATATCTGGGAGCTCGTGGCGGCCTGCTCGTTCTGCGTCGTTGCAGCTCGTTCTGCGTCGTGGCAGCCAGTTAGTTCGTGCCAGGCGATGAGTCTTCGGGTAACAAGCAATGTGCAACTGGAAGAGTAGTTATAATATTAAATAGTGGGTTGTCATAGTTGTTGGTTTTGTATGTGCAATCGAGAACCAATTTATCAAAATGATATCGAGTCAATCCAATGTATCTGGATGGGTCCACAAAAGATATTGTAATCTTTTTGAGGCTGACTCGGTATCGTAATAGTAATGAACTTTGTGCTTGTTCAACTCAGCAAAAAGTGCTCCAACCACATTTGAAGAAGATTTTTACGTCTATTCGCTTTTTGATTGGATATGTATTTTGGTATCACCAAAGTGTCGATGTCATTATGAAGAATCGTAGGGTACGTTTTGCTAGTCGAGATACCAACAGCGGAATGCGCTAAAATCAAATCATTCACACTGACATCACTTGTAGTATGACAACGTTTTGCTTCTCTTTGACGATGTGCAACGTGCACTCGAGGGTCATCAGATTTTGCGTGTGACTACCGTCCCTTGTATATTTGATCCGCCACGGTCCCTTGAATTCCTAATATCAACAGGAGAGATTTTAATTCGCATTGAACAGCCAGTACGCATTGATCATCGATCTGGTAGCTGCCGATCTTCTTCACGAAGTTTCCGAGTGTTTTTCTGTGTCGCTGATCGCAGGCAAAAAGTCTGTAAACAATGCCACCTTCCAAATTTCGCTCCAATTGCTTTCTTGCTACATTAAATCCATGACTCAGTGTCCACTCATGGATAACAGCTACTGTTTCTTCTTCCGAAGGGTTAATACCTTCTGGAGGAGGCACAATAGTAACTTGAAAAGAGCCGAATGCACTTGCACAAGTTTCATTATTTGTCTGTACGGGGGATCGTCGAACACTGCTATTGTTAGCATGTATCGGCCCACGGGTAGCTGTTCCGATTGAGTGAAGACGATACTGACATGCGAGTTCAACTGTCATTACCGACGTTGATATCAAACGTCGGTGTGTGTGTGCGGGAGAGAGAGATGGATCCATAGTTACGCTAACGACGGCTGATCTTTGACTTAGCTATTTGTGACTTGGCCTTAGCTGGTTGTGACTGTGTGGGCAGCTTTAAATGTCTCGTGCGATTATCACCTCTCGCTTA